ATTGATGGATGAAGACCCCGTCTGCTAAATGTTCTATTTGTAGACCAAGACAAAGTTTTGTCTTTCCAAGGTCTTTCATCTCAAAATCTTTCTTTAGATATTCAATTGCCTTTAGGACCTCTTTTGGAGTTCCAATGAGATTAATGTCATCAACATAAACAGCAAGAATAACAAATCCAGATGTTGTTTCCTTAATAAAAATACAAGGACAAATGGCATCGTATATATAATCTTGTTTTATCAAGTACTCACTGAGGCGATTATACCACATGCGCCCTGATTGTTTTAAGCCGTATAATGACTTTTGTAATCTGATTGAACACATTTCCCGAGATTTTGAACTATATGCTTCAGGCATTTTAAAGTTCTTCATTCACTTGAGACTCGGGTTCACTGATTTCTTCAAGAATATCAGGATTAATCAGATCTTGAACTTCTTCATGAGACTCTTTCATAGTGTCATCTTTACTTTTTGCGCTTCTTTTTCTAGGATTTCTGTCTTTTGAACCCAATGGTCTACCACGCTTTAGGCATGTTTGTGATTCAGAATCCATGACACTTGTAGATGGTCCTTTCGGGACGTCAATTCGGATAGGCACATTCACTGCAGGAATATGTGACTTTGTTATCCTTTTCAAATCAGTAAATGTGTCTGGCATTTGATTTGCTATGTTTTGCAAATGGATAATCTTCTGGACCTCTTGTTCACATACAGGGGAACGTGGATCAAAATGAGATAATGATGAAACTTTCCATGCAATTTTACTTTTAAGTTCCTTTTCCTCTCCCCCTAATTGCAGAAAACTTGTTTCATCAAATCGACAATCTGCAAATCTTGCAGTGAATAAATCTCCCGTCAATGGCTCAAGGTAGCGAATTATGGAGGGTGAATCAAACCCAACATATATGCCTAGCCTTCTTTGGGGGCCATCTTAGTGCGCTGAGGTGGTGCTACTGGCACATATACAGCACATCCAAAAATTCGTAGATGAGCAATATTTGGTTCATGACCGAATACCAATTGTGACGGAGAGTATTTATTATAATGAGTCGGTCTGAGACGAACAAGGGATGCTGCATGTAAGATAGCATGACCCCAAACAGTAGTGGGCAACTTAGTTTTCATAAGTAGAGGTCTTGCTATCAATTGTAAGCGCTTAATAAATGACTCAGCAAGGCCATTTTGAGTATGAACATGAGCTACAAGATGTTCAACTTTTATCCCTATTGATAAGCAATAATCATCAAAAGCTTGGGACGTGAATTCTCCAGCATTATCCAGGCGAATTGCCTTAATGGGATAGTCTGGAAATTGCACTCTTAATCGTATCATTTGTGCCAATAATTTCGCAAACGCCAGGTTGCGAGATGATAAGAGGCACACATGAGACCATCTTGAAGACGCATCTATTAGGACCATAAAATATCTAAACAACCCACTAGATGGGTGAATAGGTCCACAGATATCCCCATGTATTCGTTCTAAAAATTGAGGGGATTCAATGTTAACCTTCATTGGTGATGGCCTAGTAATTAATTTGCCTTGACAACAAGCAACACATGAAAACTTATCATTTGTAAGAACCTTCAGGTCTTTAATGGATGTCCATTTGAGTTTTCAATGATTCGTCTCATTCATTATTGATCCAGGATGACCTATTCGGTCATGCCAAAGCACACAAGTTTTTAAGTCGGTAAACTTCTGGTTTACGATAGAGTGTGCTTCAATTGTACTTATTTTTGCATAATATAAGCCAGAAGATAAAGTTGATAATTTCTCTAACAAATATTTATGGTCTGAGACAATCTTGGTAATACCAAGGTATTCAACATTCATTTCATTTATTGTCTTAGCATGATATCCATTTCGGCGAATATCTTTAAAACTTAACAGGTTTCTTGGAGTTTTAGAAGAGAACAATACATCTTCTATAACAAGTTTTGTCCCCGTAGGCAGAAATATAGTAGCTCTTCCGGAGCCTTCAATTAAGTTTGGATTACCAGAAATTGTAGTAACATTTGCTTTTCTTCTAAGCAAGTAAGAGAAGTATTTCTCATCTTTGAATATGGCGTGCGTTGTTCCACTATCAATTACACAAATATCTTCATGATTGATCATTGATCCAAACAAAATTTGAGAGGTATCCATATACTCTTCAAGATAAAAGATATAAACGAAGTAAACATTATAATATTATTACTAAAAGAAAACATTACACAACCTTTTATTTATTTACAAGACTAGGAAAACATATTCATACTAGTTCATACAAACGACAGAAGTAAAATATATTTACATTATTACAGACCCATCACCTATCAGGTGATCTATTTTTCCTTTGGGATTCTCAAAGAAATCTGCTATATCTAGATGCATGGGTTTAACATTATCTTCAGAGATAAAGTTGGCTTCTGCGTTATTTTTCACTTCCTTCAGGGAAGCTTGATACAGCTCAACCAGGTGCCTTGGCGTACGACAGGTACGTGACCAATGCCCCTTTCCACCACAACGATAACATTTGTTGTCTGAATTTTTCTTCTGCACCACTTCATGCTTTTCATCCTTCTTTTTACACTGCTGGTGGTGAAGGTTATTATTTAGTGCAAGACGATCACCATGATTGAAATTTCTTCCTCGACCACGGCCACGGCCACGACCTTTTCCACTCTTAGATTGGTGAAAATTTGTCGTATTTACTTCAGAAAATGGCATAGAACCAGTAGGTCGACTTTCATGGTTTTTCATCAGTAAGTCATTATGTTGTTCAGCAACAAGAAGATGTGAAATTAATTCTGAATATTTTTTAAATCCCATTTCTCGGTATTGCTGCTGCAGGAGCATACTCGAGGTAGGGAAAGTGGAAAATGTTTTCTCCAGCATATCATGGTCAGTGATATTTTCTCCGCATAATTTTAATTATGAGATGATTTTAAACATGGAAGAGTTTTACTCACTGATAGATTTAAAATCTTGAAGTCTCAAATGGATCCAGTCATAACGTGCCTGTGGAAGGACGACCAACTTCAGGTGGTCATATCTATCTTTTAAATTAGTCCACAACACCAGAGGATCTTTAACAGTGAGGTATTCCATTTTTAAACCCTCATCAAGGTGATGACGGAGAAATATCATTGCCTTAGCACGGTTTTGATTTGATGTTGATTTTTTTTTTGGATGGTGTCTGCCAGACCCATCACATCAAGATGAATTTCTGCATCAAGTACCCATGATAGATAGCCTTTTTCCGATATGTCTAAAGCAAGAAATTCAAGTTTAAAAATATTTGACATTATTTAAGAAAGAAAAATTTATACCTTCGAGACTTTTAAAGTCTTTACTTGAACTGGCAGAGACTCGTGCTAATAACGTGTTATAAAATAACTAACTAAAATTAATACACTAAAAGAAGGACAATTGAGAGAGTAATGTATTTCAATACGTATATATTCCTTTGTAATAAATGTAATGGCTATTTATAGCCAAAAGATGACTTATAAATGTATAACTTGGCCATTTTAATTGGTCAAGTGATGGTGGCCCTCCAATGGATTAGTCCCACATGGCATGAGCCTTGGCTTTACACTATTACAAGTGATGTAAGTCCCCAAATTGTTTGGGGCCACATGGCATCCATATTTGCTTTACAACAATATGATCGTTTTTACTTTTTATTTTAAATAACTCAAAATAACTTTTGTTCTGTGCTGAAGTTCCATTTCAACGAGCTATAACTAGGGTAACGAGCTATTCTAGAACCTCACACAACCCCAACTTTACTATTAAGTGTTTTCCTCTTCTCCATAGTATTAGCTCTGCAAATCAACATTTCCCTTAAATTCAATCAATCTCACTTTTCCTTCTTCTTTAGGTACTTTTCTTCGTATGAATATTAATTAAGAAATCTAGAATTTTTTGCATCAACAATCTATTAGATCTCGTAGTTTTCTATTTTTTTTAAAGGCTTTAGGTTTCATATCCCTGTGCTTTAATTTGTGTTTGTAATTGTTTTCTACTTTATACGAAATTTGAGATCTATGTATTTGGATGAAAATAAGGTGTTTATATTTGGGTTAGGGCTTGGATTTGAAGATATATGGGCTTCATTATTGCGTCGAAGCTCTTAATGAAGAAGTTTAAGGATCTGTAGGATTTTCTCACATCACGCAATGCTGGTATGTTGGCTTCATATCCTATTTTGTTTGTCACTTCTCATTATTTTATGGTTCTTGAGCTTATGTGCTAGTTTTGTTACCTTAAAGATCAAAAATTAGATCCCCTTATCGAACTGTTGATGTTTCTGTGGCTTTGTGAGGCTACTGCTGCTAAGTGTAGAGATTGTAGCAGAAGAACAAGTCTGATTAAGTAGTTTTAATCTGTTTCAATACTAGTTGAGTTACATGATTTAAATGTTTGTTTCTATAACATTATCACAGTGTTTCATATTCTCTTGTTGTCGAAGTGTGATAAAAGGAAAGCCCCAATTTTTGAATTCCTAATGTCGTACTTGTCAATCTATGAATTTTGTTTCTTCAAAAAAAAAAGGGAAATGCTTTTGATTTTTTGAATTTATTTTGATTAATGTTAACTCGCCTAAAATAGAATATTGTGTGTCGAGTCTTATTTTTCACTATAAATACGATACCTCTTATCATATAAAGGGACAAACTTTGAAGTTCGATAATCTTTCATTCACATTGCTTTAGAAATGCTTCTTTACAATTTTGATTCCTTTCTTTTGTCGGCTACAAGCCTAGATTATTTACTGTGAAACTGCTTCTATTTTAGTTGTTAGTGCTATGCCGAAGTATTTTAAATTCAAAGGTGATAGTTCTTTGTAGATTTAAGTTTCTATCTAAGTCTCTATATGTTAGTAAACCTGATAGTTCTTTGCAGCTTAAGTTACTGCCTTAGTCTATATATGTTCGAATGGCTTAAGCATTTTCTGAAATGCATTCAGGTATTTTCTATACTTCATGTGTGCCTAGTCTTTTGTGTAATGGATGTAATATGAGTCTCTGTTAGGCTGATATGGATACTAATCTTGTTGAGGGTCTATTGGAAATATCCTCTCTACCATTGAAGTTGGGGCAAGGTTGGCATACACTCATTTTAGCAGTTTGTCGAGTTCTATTCTGCCCGAATTCCTTAGAAGATGAATGCATATTGAATTACTTGTCGAGCTTCAATATTTGCCTCTTTATAGCTTTATGCTTTGCTTGAAGATGGATGTGCATCATAACTGTTTGAAGCTTGGTACTAGTTAGTTTTCACCTATGTGAGGAAGATTTTGTCAATTAAAGGTTCAACGATCAAAGCTCTGCAATGGTTTTACAAATTTAATAAACGGATAGATGTGAGGAAGTTTATAATGCAGTGAAGGACTTTCTAGACTGTTAATTTTTCTTATGTTAGATTATCTTATCAGAAATTTAGACAAATGATTTTGCTAGAGGTTTCCGTAGGAAAACTTTCAAGTTCCTAGATGATGTTTCCGTATAATTTTTTCTCCAACTAACTTTTTTCACAAGAACAGTATTAGTTATGCCTTAATGTCAAACTAGTTAGATTGGAGTATGAAATTTCAATTTCCATTCTGTTGTATGCATGTAGCTAGGTCCCTTTTTAAAATAATTTTACCACCAGAACACTGGAATTAGGTACTAGGTTAACTGTTAATAAAAAATTCATTAAAGGTTCAGGATTAAGACAATACGAATCCAAGTTAACTATGTCAGCTTTAGAAATTTGTAAGACATATCTAAATTGTGAAATAAAGGTCAAGGGTCAAATACTTGGTACTGCAGATGACCTGTTTGTGCAACTACTCAATGACAATACTACTAAAAAGTAAATTTACCTTATTAAAAAAAGTTACTAGTAGAAAGGAACATGGTTGTTGTTTTTTATTGCATTTAAGTATGTATTTACATTTTACGTAGCTATGACATGGCAACATCTTATACCAAACAATGTAGCTTCAACATGAACTCCAAAGTCCATGCACTTCTACTAAAGAAGTGGCCAAGCTCATTTTCCAGATCTACTCTACTTTTGGAATAAATAGATGTGTTAACATTTCCTCTAGGGATTTACTCATTATCAAAAGAAATATTGATATAATTGGGAATTCCTTTGTCTTGTGTATTATTAACAAAGTTATGATGAAACCTATAAAAAAAATATGCATGAACTCCTTTGTCAAAATAATGTGGTTCATGATGTGATTCTCTATCAAAAATAACCTCTTTACTTTTCAAGTAGGAGTATGGACTGCATAAACACAATCCTCCCCAAACCTCACTTGTGGTATTAATAACATTGGGTATGTTGTTTGTTAATGAATTGAGTTTTATTTAAGTTCTCATGTTTGGGTATTGGACTTTAGTTATTTAGTTGCTCCACTTTGATCCTCCTGCTAAATACATTTGTTAATTTTTATGAATTGAGCTTAGTATGGTAGGATAAAACTATGTTGTGCACATTTCATCGGCCTTAGTCATGTCCCTTTGCTTTCTTAAATGTTTTGCAATCTTCTATTTCAAGGTTACCTCTTTTATTTTAGTATTTATTATAAGAATTGTCAAAGTAAATCCTATTCGTTTACTCGTAATTACAGGAACAAGATTGTAGAACACAAATAGTATTGAAGAAGGATAAGTTTGAAGACCTTCACTGTTTTTTTATTACATATGTACAATGACATTGAATAATATACTATTGTGTAGTACATTTAATTGACATTTTTTTTTATCATGAAAGTATTCGAATTATTCAACTTGAGAATTATTTGTGTTTATTAAATATATATTGGATGCTTTTAAATATTTGTAAGCAATTTATTGAAATGAACATGTATATTAATATCAGAATTTAGGTGGCCATGAAAATTAATTAAAATATTGGATATTGTAATTGTTGAAAAATAGGTTTTAGTGGCAATCTGACTTGCCGCTAAATATTTAATAAGTTCAGTGGCAACAAAAGTCGCCCCTAAAACAGATGCTATTGTGGCGATAAGAGCTGCCACTAAATGTATATCGCAATTGTGGCATGCAATGTTGCCACTGAAAGTCGTATACAGTGGCGACAAAGGTTGCCACTAAATATTTAATGCCTCTGTGGCGATCCTAGTCGCCACTGAAAGTCAATTTTTAGTGGCGATTTATGGAGCAACACTTGGTGGAATCTTCTTTTGTGGCGTGTTTGTTCAGTTTTTGCAGCAAGAAAAGTCGCCACAAATATAATATTTTGTGACGACTTAAGAGAGTCGTCACAAAAAACTTTTAGTTATTAAAGTACTTGCCATGGCGCTATTGTCGCCACTACATATATTCAGTTGCGACTTATTGGGCTATTGTGGCGAGATTTGTAGCCGCTAAAAGACTGGTTTCTTGTAGTACCCCACAACACCATCCATTCTATTTGACACAAATCTACGAAACTAAATCTTAAAAGACAAAAGCTAAAGTGGAACATTGCAACTTGAAAGTTGGGAAAATGTACAAGTACCTCCCTAGATTATGACCGAAATCTCATAGACACACCTTAACTAAACTAAGGTTCTATTACACCACTGAACCCATTTTTTTGTAATTTTGTGCACCTTTTTGGCTTACGTGGCATCCAAATATTTTCCACGTGCCTCAATTGCGTGGAGTCACGGAGTGTGCCACGTAAGACAAAATGTGTACAAAATTACAAAAAAAAAAAGTTCAGGGGGTAATGGGACCTTAGTTTAGTTAAGGTGTGTCTCAGAGATTTCGGTCATAGTATAGGGGTACTTGTGCCTTATCCCTTGAAAGTTTTATATCTAAAATAGGCAAAATGGTCTGGTGGACACTTGTAGTTGTATGGATTTGTATTATAAATCCTTTTACTTACCTGTTTGTCAATTGAACCCTTAAACTCAACAAAACACAATTTGACAAACCCTCTGACCATTCACCAGGCTTATGTGGCGGTAGATATCTGAGTTGGCAAAAATGCGTAACTACACGCCTATTAAGGCGAGTGAGGAGCTTTTTACTTGAAAAATATTAAAAATTATAAAAGATAATTTTTTAAAACCATTAATTAAAAAAACCTTCTTCTTCACCCATAACACCTCCTTTCAGCCATATCCATCCCTACCCAACCCCTTTTACTTTCTTTTCCAGAAGCTATTTCATCTATTTAGATGATCTTGGACACCTCCTTGAGTCCACTAATCACCGACGAAGGGAGAGAGCGGCGCTGGTGGTGCTCGCCGGACACCACTCATATGCAGTGGAGGGAGAGTGAGAGAGGATAACAAAGTGAGTGAGGGTGCGAGGATCTAATCATGGCGGTGAAAATGGTGATGATGTGAGGTGGAGATGAAGGCGAAAATGGTGATGGTGTTCGGCTAGATCTGATGTGGTGGCTTAGGTTGTTGGTTTTGTGGAGGTTGGAGGAGGAAAGGAAAATGGTGATGATGAAGGCGGAAGGAATATGAGTCCCTTTGACGGCAAAAATGGCTACGACGGCGACGGCTTGGTTCACGTGAACAAAGTGGGAATGGAAGAAATTGTAATAGGCTTTTACCTTTTAAAAGAATATAATTAAATTTCTATTATTTTACCTTTAATTAAACAATTTTGATTAATAATTTTAAAAATAATTATGACATGGCATTAATATATCTGATGTGGATATGACATGTCATTTATGTAAAGGAGAGTGAGCTACACACATGGTTGAAGGGGTTTAAAATGCTCATTTTGATTGAGTTAAGAGTTCAGTTGACAAATGATTAAGTAAAAGGGTTCACAATACAAACGCATACAAGTATAAGGGTCCACCAGATCATTTGGCCTCTAAAATATTACAATGAGCTGTGAAATGGAAGCTTTGACAAAATAGACTATTAAATCACTAGGCATACCTAAAAAAAATTGGAAGAAAAATGTTCCTTAACTAACCACTCACATTCCTTCTTGTCTACTTCCTTTGGAATATACTTAAGAGCCTGTACAATTGGCTTATTCTTCACATAAGTCGCATGCAAGTATCATTTTCATTTGTTCCATAACTTATTCATCCATCCAAAAATATGATCACGATGATCATTCATGTCAATACTCACAATTTTATCCTATAATAATTAAAATATGAGTTAAGTTAATGACCACAACATAAACGATGACGAACTTCGCATCTCTCTAGTAAAGAAGATGAAAGAAGAAAGTAAAAAATGTGTGTCAACTATGCAGTAAGTATATAAAAAATAAAGCAAGAAGAAGTTGTAGAACAGTGGTTAATGTTGGAAATAGATAGAAAAAAAATTACAATTCAATAAGAAGTTAAACATTGGTGACAGCTAAGTCAAGTAGCTATATGTATTCATCATTCAACAACTTAAAACTAATTGCATACATAATGTATTCATGATTCATCAACTTAAAACTAATTGCATACACGATGTAACTAATTGCAACTCAAGTTTCTCTCTAGCCAGATGGCAAACATTGCTTAAGTAAAGACCATTCTGAGAAGTCTTGCACTTTATGATCTTTCTCTTCCATTATGCGTTGCCCAATCTACATACGGTTCCCAAGTTTGGGAAGTGACTATTGATTTTTCGATCCACTTAAATAGCCTTGCCCACATGTTGAGAGTATAGTTGCATAAAACGAACAAATGGTCTCTGCTTTCATCAGTAGTTCTACAAAGTTCACACTCTGGTTCCATGTTGATCCTCCATTTGATCAATATGTCAGCAATCAATATCCTCGAATGGAAGTGTAATCACAAGATTTAGGTACAAAAGCACTAAGTGATGAAGGGTGACATGAAGCTACAGACAAGTCAGCTACAAAAGCATCACAACCTCACCAGGTATAGCCATAAAAAAATATTTATTTTACACCATTATATAACCATCTGAATTCAAGTCAGGTCAGGATCGTTTATAGCTCATAAATAATTAACCAAACCTTAGTCTCTATACCTACAAGAGAAGTCACTTGAAAATGGTAAAACAACACTAAGATGATGCACACTGTGGAAAGCACTGATCATATCTATCATGGAATCTACATCATATACGAAGGCCATGCTGCTCTAAACGCTAGCAAAGAAATACAAATTTGTTTAAGGCTAAGTTGCTATGTTTGCCTTTAAAAAATACAATAATTACTTTCCGTCCAAATCGTCCACAAAATGACCATGGAACCAAGAGTTTTTTCTTCCTGAATTATTCAAAATGTTCAATCAAAATCGATTATCCACTTCGAAAGCAAAAAAAAGTGCATGGACATACCTTTTTTGGCCAATCAAAACTCCACATTTGAGAATAGCCTTGGAATCTGTTAACTAGTGCATAGAGTTAACAAGCTGAATGGTTGAGTTAGCTAAACCGTAAGTGTAGTCAGCTAAACAGAATGTTGAGCTGGCAATAGTTAGTTACAAAATAGTTTTAGATATTTTTGTAACTGTGAACTATTATACAAGTATAAAAGGCATAGTGGTACAAATTCAATGTAACATAATTCAATACAATTTCTCTTTCTCTTCTATTCTCTCTGTAAATTGATCTAAGAACCAACCTCCATTCATGGAGTTTTCATGGTATCAGAGCACTCGACCTTAGAATTCTAAGTTCATAGCAGCAACTATCAGGTGCTCAGATTCACCATCTGTTAAAGGTGAATTGAAAGGAAGCATCAAAAGTTAAGCTAGCTCAAATGACGAATGGAATGGCAGCTAAAGGTACTAGCACTGGAAATGGAAATGGAGTTATGAGCCCAGTCACATTTCCAGTGATTGATCACAATCATCCACTATTTCTTCAACACACAGACACTCTAGGTAGTTCTCTAATCTCTCTTCAGTTAATAGGTTCAGAGAACTAAGCTCTGTGGAGTAGGTCATTTAGGATTGGTTTAGTTGGGAAAAGCAAGTTAGGTTTCGTAGATGGAAGGTTTCCTAAATCTATGTTTAAACCATTATTGCATGATCAGTGGGAGAAGTGTAATGCAGTAGTGTTAAGTTGGATTATGAATGCAGTAAGGCCAGGACTTCTGAGTTTTGTTGTGTATGCATCTGATGCACACAAAGTTTGGTTGGATCTAAGAGAAAGGTTTGATACAGTTAATGGATCGAGAATCTTTCAATTGCATAGAGAGATTCATACATTAGTTTAGGGTACTATGTCTATTGCTGAATATCACTCTAGGTTAAGAGACATATGGGATGAATATGATTCTCTTATGCCATGTCCTAGTTGTCCTTGTCCCGAGTCAAAGAAATTTGGGGAACATTGTGATTATCAGAGGCTATTGCAGTTCTTAATGGGATTGAATGAGTCCTACTCCCCTCCTAGGAGCCAAATACTCATGATGAGCCCTATTCCTATTCTTAACAAGGCTTATGCATTGCTCATTGATCAAGAGAGTCAGAGGACTCTGGCTAGTTCTGTTTCCACTAGCTCAGGGCTCATTGAAGGCACAACATTATATTCTCATAAAAGTAACACCTACACAAGTGGTGCAAGAACTTCTAAAGGTCCTTTTCCTGGTGGATCTGGTGGGGGATATAGTGGTGCTAGTACTTCAGGTGGAGGTTATGCAAGCAACTCAAGAGGTGGATACAAGGCTAAGAAACATCTTCTCATATGTGAACACTGTGGGTGCAGAGGTCATTCCAGGGATCAATGTTATAGAATTGTTCGCTATCCTACAAACTTCAAATCTATGAGGAAACCTAGTGTGTATGCAAATCAGGTAGCAGCGCCAAATGAGCCTGGACAAGAAATCAGAACAAAC